AAAAAACATTTCATCCCTCGAATCTCCTGATTTTTGTAGACAGCCAGGTTGCACTGAAAGCAATTGAATTTAAAACGGTTAAATTCAAGATTGTATTAAAATGTCTCGCCTCACAGATGAGCATCAAACATCACAAGGTCTCTCTTTGCTGGGTTCCTGGAAATAGCAATATTAAAGGGAATGAACTAACAGACGAGATGGTCAGAAGAGCTTCTAAACTGCATACAGGAGAGGCCAACCTCTCAATACATACACCGATATGTGAACTGTTTAGGATAATAGAGGAAATCACCAATACGGTGACTAGCAATTTATGGGCTGCGAAGACTGTCAGTTCACTAGAACCTTATGACCTAGGTTGGACAGGTTTGCTTTAGCAAACCTATAGTTCGTGTGCTTACTGGATTACTAACGGTGCACTGTGGTATTGCGCCTATGCTTCAACGGTGGCGAGTTCCAACAAATGGACTATGCAGGAGTTGTTAAGATGAAGAGGAGGTAGAATCTATCAACCACCTCCTGTGTCTCTGTCCAGGACTTCAGACAAGGCGACTTCAATGTCTTGGGGATCGCTTTTTCACTGGCAAATTTATCGGGTCTCTTTAATTTCATCTGGAAAACCAAATGATATAACAAGGATAACAAAGGTTAGCAACTCGCCTCTCCCGACAATATATTTTGAGGGCATCACAATGGGCAATATATGCCTTCCGAACCTGACCTAACCTGTCTAAACAGTTTATTATATATTAGTTTATTAAATATTTTTAAGTACATGATGCGTTTTTTTAACTAGATCATTTTGTTTATCTCAAAAAGTTTGTATCTATTTTTTTTTATTCCGTTTATATTATAAAAAGTAAAAAGTACCCGAATTTTGTAAATAAAAGACACACATTTTAATTTTATTCTAAATTTATTTTATTTCTTTCAAAATATGCTCCTTCTGAAACGATACACATATGCCAACACTTAACCCTATCTTCCATACACTTTTCGTAGGCCCGTGAAGGTATGGGTTTCAGTTCCTTCGGCGAATTCTCTTTTACCGATTCAATCGACTCAAAACGCTTTCCACGAAAGCACAATTTGAGTTTCGGGAACAGGAAAAAGTGACAGTGGTGAGCGATAACAGTGGTGCCGTGTTGGGTCAAAAAATCGCGTACAACACAGATTTTCCATAGTAAAAATCGCTAAATGCACTTGAGGTAGTCTCACATTAACAGCTGCTGTAAACAAACTAATTGACAGATGGCGCTCAAATTTGTACCATATGTCAAGAAGGGGTGTACCAATGTAACAAGAAAAGGTCTATTACTTAAGGAGTAGTTAACAAACAAAAACATCCGGATAATTTTTGAGCATAGTATGTTTACATTAAGTAAATCCTATCTTTAAAAAGATCTGTTATAATATATAAAATAAATGATATGGAATGCGTCTTATTATTTGAAATGAATGAGATTAATTTTTATATAATTTGTTTTATTTATCTCTGCTTTAGTAATTTATTATAGAAAAGAATATATATTAGGAGATATAAATATTAATCAATTTATTTTGTTAGTTTTATTATTTGTTAGATCAATAATATTTTTAATTATTTCACCAAATTTAATTAGAAGTGAAATGAAGTAGTAGTATTTGAAATGTGAGTAGCTATTTTCTGACAAGGAAATTGAAACTGGTGCATAATTATCATCTCGTGCTTCTATTATGATATGTTTCCTCTATATATATGCTATTTTATCCGGCAGCTCAAAACTACAACTCTTTGTTTTAATTGTTAGTATACATAACATTTTTCTCATACGAGTTACACGATTTTTCGATTTGGATTACATCATTTTTGCATTGAAGTAATATATTATTGAATTCATTTTGTTTATTTAGCTACAAACAAGAATTTTTACAATCTCTTAAGCTATGAACTTATCCAAGCTACTTCACATTAACACTTGGAATATACCTTTACATTTCATGTCGCTTGATCATTAATTGAAAAAATTCTTTATTGTTGATAGTTTGAGCACTAATTTCACTTGGAAATTTATATTTCGATTATAATTACAGTTTTAAATATTTTATTTCGTCATTAGTTACTAAAAGTTTGATCCAGTTTCTTATTTTCGTCCATATGGCTCACCAAACCTTTTGAACTATTTGTAGGACGTGTTCTATTTACTAAAATATTTTCGCTAATTTTAATTTAAAAACCAGGATAAGTTAATATATCTTAAGAAGTTTTTTATTCTTTAGTGTTTAGAAAGACCACCACTTCGTTTTTCGATGCAAAAAGCTGCCTACAAACAATTACTTTGCAATTTAATATGATCACCCACTTCCAAGTGTTGAGGTATATGCTTTTTTGTTTGCTAAGTAAAATAATTGCAAAGATATTCTCATTGATATTCAGTCGTAATAGAGTAACATTGATATCGAAAGTAATCCAATATTGGGCTTTTTGTAGGTGTTAATAACGTAAATTAAAACAAATTGGTCTGGATAAAAACAATTGTTATTCATGATTGCTTAAAGTGCATACATTAGTTTCTTCTTCCTTTTCAAATATGCGTCTATATAATTCAAGTGCACCGGGAAGCTCCATGCAAGCAAGCTGTTTACGATTTTGTTCTTCTGTTTTTCTCTGTCGTGTTGCAGGAAAAGGTTTTACTGGTGAAAGCGGAGGAAGTGGATCCAAGTAATAACTTAAATTTGGTTCAAGCACCTGAATATTATTATTTACGTGTTTTATATTCACTTTATGTTTATGCAAGGGTTCTTCTATTTCTGAAACATTTAAAGAAATGAGATTTTTAAATATTTGTTCGTTTGGTTTGAAGTTGAGTTTTCTGGTTATCTGCAGAAGAAAGTTTAAATTAAATATTAAAAACAAAACAAAAATGTTTTAAATTATACCTTCGAAGCTATTTTAGCTTTGGAAACAGGAGTCAAATCGTCGAGTTTTTCTATTTTAGGCAATTTAATGTTTTTTAAAGTATGCATATCTTTCATTAGGTGACTCGTAGCATTAATTTTTGGCATGGACAAAGTGTGTAATAATTTTTCAGGTTTAATATTTTCTTTGCTGTGCCTGGTTAGCTTTTCGTAATTCTCCGACTGAAAATAAAATGTTTTATTTATAGGCAAAATAATTATCACTTTTTTACCTCTAATCTATCCACTCTGTTTAAGAGTCGTATGTTTTCTTTATTTGTTTTGCATTTCATGTTGTAGTTTTGTACAAGGATATCATTATCTGAGTCATCTGTTTCTTGCCCATAGTCTTCCTTTTGTTCATTTGGCTGTTTAATTGTTGGTTTGAAGTTATCATTAGTCTGTTTAATTGTGCGATTTTTTTGCACGCTTTGCAATGAGTGTGCTTCATTATTATCGTTTATTGTAAGTTTTTTGTATGCACCACAAACCAATTCCTCTTCACTTTCCATTCTTGAATAATTTAGAAAATTGCGCCTGTATTTTGTAAATTATAAAGTTATCTACAATCTCATTTGACATATGTAAAATTGACAAGAAAGCGAAACTCATTATCTAAAAGCATTATTCTCATCAATCAGCTATCGTATGTGTCATGTTATGTAGAGCGGGGCGAATTTGGCTGGACTATGACGAAAATGCATGTTATGTAGAGTTTCACATCAGTATTGCTAATTTCTTATTTTACTACTACCTTTGCACTTTTTAGTTGTCCCTAAATTTAAAAGGATATATAGATATGCTCACTTTCAATTTGCCACCAAAAATAACCAGCAAAAAAAACTCATAGAGGCCGTAAAAATGTTAATTTATTATTATTTTTTCTTATAATAATTGTTAACAGTACTTACAAAATTATACGCCTTTCCTTAAAATCGGAAAGTGTAAGAATTAGATTATTAACTGTTTATAAAATTGGCTGTGTCGCTTTCTGACATTTTATTTTTCAAAACGTATTGAAATTGTAAAAATTGCACTTAAAAGGCGCAATTTATTACTGGACAAGACTTCTTTGCCGAAATGACAAGACACAGATAGTCTCGGTTCTCATGACGGAATTTAAACCGACATATTGTTTTTATTCTCACTCTCAATTATACAATTTGCGTTGAAGGCAATAACACTTTTTTTCATGTTTTGCCTTTGACACTGTACATAACATGGGCCTTATTGAACTTTTTCGGAAACATTCTATTCGATTGTTGGTATTAAAGTTTAAATTTTAAATGGTGCAAGCCATTCGTTGTTCGGATTAAGCTTGAGTTTATGTTTGTTTAGGTTTCTTGTATTCTGTTCTTTTTTTTGATTTCTACGCTATGTAATACAAAAAATTATATCATAATTGTCAATTTTCTATTTTAAATACTATTTTAATAGTAGTCACCAAAATGGGGATTACATATCCATAATAAAATACATGTTATTTACACCTAAAAGGCGTACATTCGGACATTTATTTCTAAGCAACAACGTTTTGAACAACGCGATAACGCACAGGATGCCTGATTAATTTACTTTTAATCACAAAATGTAAATGCCGTATTAATTGTAGATATCTTAATCATGAATAGACTATATTTTAATAATAGACTTTTCTTAATAGACTATATTTTATTTAGTATTTAGTTGAAAAACTTAATATAAACTCAAATAAAGACATTAGAGTCTTCAGGTTATATTTTAATACGACAAATTTTTTATATATTAATCATATTTTAATCATGAATAGACTATATTTTAATAATAGACTTTTCTTAATAGACTATATTTTATTTAGTATTTAGTTGAAAAACTTAATACAAACTCAAATAAGACATTAGAGTCTTCAGGTTATATTTTAATACGACAAATACGACAAAAGAGAGTTTCTATAATTGGTGAGTAAAGTTAATTTAAACGTTGTAGCGATCTTAGTGGTGTAAATCTGTTTGTGTATGACATGATAAACATTACTTGTGATATTTTAAATTAAGTATCGAGATAAACCTCAGTTTTATTAGTTCATAAAAATTGTAAAGAATTTATATATATATATGGATTTTAAGAGAGAAAAATGCTATATCGTATTATTTGCTATATAAAATAAAAATGGTGTGGTACTGAATTTAAATTGATACTCAATTAATTACGACAATGTTGAATTTGGCGACATAACCGTCAGATAATGTTTATCTACGTCATATGTTCTATAAATAATTTGTGTAGTAGGATAAGTAGTTTTTAATAGCAATAAGAAAATTTTAATAACACTGTATAAATGTAATAGAAATTCTTAAATTGTTAAAATTAAAAATAAAAGAAATAAACACACTTCATAGCGCAGAAGATATATGAAATTTGTTTAATAAATAGTATTAAATAGTATATAGCAAAATGCCAGGCAAGGTTGGTGTTAAAATTAAAGCTGGTAGAAATTTACCAATAATGGACAGAAGCAGTGATACGACAGATGCATATGTCGAGATTAAATTAGGAACAATAACACAAAAAACGGATGTTTGTCGCAAATCTTTAAATCCACATTGGAATACAGACTGGTAAGTGTTCAGTAACTACATGCGAATGCAGAGGCAGGTAGAAGAGTGAAAATTAGGAAAAGCGATATCAGTAAACGACACTTGCTTAAGATAACTCGTAAACATTATTTAAAGTAATAAATTAAATAATAAGCAACTAACTTTTTAAGGTTTCGATTTGAAGTGGATGACGCAGAACTACAAGATGAACCTTTACAAATTCGTTTAATGGATCATGACACTTATTCGGCTAACGACGCAATCGGCAAAGTGAATATTAGTTTGAATCCACTTTGTCTAGAAACTTCAGGGCAAACAACGCAAGGTAAGGGAACAGTATTTTCTGGCTGGATACCAGTTTTTGATACGATGCATGGCATACGTGGTGAAGTGAACATTATTGTCAAAGTGGATTTGTTTTCTGATCTAAATAAGTTTCGTCAAAGCTCTTGTGGAATACCTTTTTATCACTGTAAGCATGAATCAAAATAAATGAAATTTTAATTAAATTCAATATTAATATAAATACTTCATAGCTCAATGCATTCCACATGGCTACCGGGCACAAATTATACATGGTTTTGTTGAAGAGTTAGTAGTAAACGATGATCCGGAATATCAGTGGATAGATAAAATACGTACACCACGAGCTTCTAATGAAGCACGACAGGTTGTTTTTCTCAAATTGTCAGGACAAGTAGGTTATTCTTAATTATTATAATTAAAAATTAATAATATTCATTATTTTTGTTATTTTTGTTATTTTTAAGGTGCAAAGAAAAATGGGTCTTAAGGCCATAAATATGGGTGCAAATGCAGTTATTGGCTATACGCAATGCTTCGATTTGGAGGGTGATGTTGGTGTGGTTGCACGTGGCATTGGCACTGCTGTCACTTTGATAAAAGATACAAATATACAACCAAACACAGCGGACAATGCGCTTATTGAAGAGTAAGTAAAACTAAAAAAATGACAGGCTAAACTGATAGTGTCTAGGAACTAGAAAAAAATGAAGTATATATAATAATATTTTACTTGATTTTTAATCTTTTGAATAACTAAAACTTTTTACTTTCTATTTGCCCATATCGTGCGCTGTCGAAAACTAAAAAATTTCATAAACTTGTAAATTTGTTGTGTAAAATTTTAACATATATTAATACTTCGTTTGTATGTTTTGTTTGTGTTATATTATTGCCCATTAAACACACCTTCCATATAAACCGCATTTGAATAAAGGAGTACTCTAAAATATTTAGAATTTCTCACCGGAGGTAATATAAATTTGTGCGGTTCAGTAGATTGGGATATAAAAATAGATAAATCTAGTTCTATTACTTTCCTCAATTTACCACATTCTATTTCGGATACCGATCTCACAACTATGCAAGAACTTATAAGACAGGAAGATGAACGAGGTGAAAAACCCGCCAAAAAACTTAAACATCATATGAAACGTTTAACGCGTTCATCGCGTAACATTTTGAATGAAAAGTGCAACAGCTTGATGCGTAAAATTGGCGACGGTAACGAGTCAAAATCAGCGCAAAGTAGTAGTTCTCTTTCACTGAGTAGTTTATTTACGGGCGGCTTCATGAAAGATGACTTAGGTGCTTCAGCACGCAGCTCTTTACTGACTGTACGAAAGTCAAGTTTTAAAGCTAAAAGTAAAGCAACAACCCTTAAGCCCGTACAGCGACAATCACTAAAATCCACACATCCAATTGTACGTTCTGTGAGTGATGATTCGGCGATGCAGCACGGCCTCACTTGTAACAAACACACTACAGCACCAAAAGTAGCAGTTATAACTGAATTTACAGATAATACGCGTTCATCACCAAATATTTGTGGTGAAGAACAACTCATATTGCGTCAAGCAATTCTCGCTAAAGCCGAAGAGAGCAAACACCAACCGTTTGGTGAATTCACTGCTCATGCACCACATCTTAAAACAATAGGAAATGAAACTAAATGTGGGCTAATGAGTTCCTCAACAACTCTTTCGGAAAGTGACACAGAAAGCTCAAGTTCAGATGAGTATTCAGTTTTAGCAGAGGAGTCAACACAAGAATTACAACTAAATTCACCAGCTGAGGATCGTGATGAGAAATTTAGTTTTAGAAATCTAAATTTGAAATATAAAGAGAAATCAAAACCCTTAGTGGAGGATCTACATTTGCAACAAAGAAATGATTCAATAAATCGTGATCAATTTTCAAACACAAAGTCGTCCACAAAATCATCAAAGTCGAGTGGCAGTGAGAAAGATAAAACGCATGCAATAAAACAGCTTCAGTTGTTTAAAGAATTCAAAGCGTTTTCACATAATTTGCAGGTTTTAAATCAACTTACCTAGTGACTAAACTTAATGAAACTCTACAAGTGCACAACTGCTAAAGAAGAATTTCATTATGTTTTTAAAACAATTCGTAAGAACATTTACTATAGATATTGTAATTTTCAGGAGCTCCTACACAAGACATCAAAACTTAAACGCAGAAATAAGCATCAAAGCATAAACTCGGCTTTAGCTAGTGCAAAGCTTGAACCTTCTTCCATAACATCAAAACCTTGTGTGCTAAAGTCTCCAGAAATAGATGCCCACAAATCATATTATTCTTCCCAGCCAGAAATCTCAACGGACTTTGACAATACAATTGACTTGGCAAAAATGAAAAAATTACAAACTTGTTCATTAAACAATTTATCATATTTAACAACAATGCCGCAAAATCTGCAAAATGTGCAAAATGCTAACAAAGATAGCAAATGCAAAGCTAATCAAACGCTGCTTTCTAATGTCAATGATATTGTCTCACCTACAAAATCCACATATCCCATTTTACAAATATGTCCCTCAACGCCAACTCCCTCTGAATCTGATAATTCACAATTATCACCAACTGACTTAAAATGTAATGACGTACAAAAGAGTTTCTCCCTACATGCCCTAAGTAGTGCGTCGTTTGATTTATTAGATTTTGGTAAAAAGTTGTCCCCACGAAAAGTACCACAAAACGCCTGTAAATTATCAAAACATATTAGTAATTTAACTCCTAATGATCATTATCTTAATACAAATACTACTAACCATAGTAATAAATATTCACCATTGCTTGCTTCATCTACTTTGCCACTTTGCATCAAACATCCTCATCATAGGTCACTGAGCGAGATTAGTAGCACAACTGGCATTACTGCATCAACTACAGATAGTCCGAATTTAAAGCGTACCGCACCACCAACTCTTGATAGTCGCACAAAACTATCAACAAGCCCAACAAAGTCTGGTGTTAACGTTGCATCACAGTCAGATAGCATTTCTTCCACAACGACTTCCACAGCCACCACAATGATACCAAGAGATGTTGGTGAAATTTGCCGTCGATCGTCCGATTCCGATTTGAGCATTACACCTAAAGGTAATATTTTTATACATAATTTTCTGTTAACGATATTAAACCTTGTAATATTCGTTTAAATATATTTTCTTTTGTTAGTTTCATATAGTTATTTAGTTGAGATAAAATATTAACTTTCTGTAGAAAGTTAGTAGTTAATAGTTTTCTGAAGGATCGGTAGAAGATAATGTACTAAATTCACTTAAGCGCACAAAGTAGTCGTAGAAATTTCTTTATTTTAATTAATTCCTGACATAGTTTCTATATTCTAAAGCAGCTGCAGTTGAGATACTTCACAATTTTGGAAAATATGGTGTATTCAGATGTAACTCGGTAATACGGTAATATAGTAATTTTACAGAAACAAATATACATAAAACTTAATGATTTTATCAACTTTCCGAGCACGTCTGAATATCCTTATTCTATCAAAAAAACAAAACGACTTTTGTTGTTAATAAGTTGCTTAAAATTGGAGTGTGGTGAATTCCCTAATCTTAGCCTAACCCATAAAGCATTACCTTTAGTCTATTTGATAGGAATAATGTGTTTAATTTTTTTTTTTAACAATTGAAAAGAAAGTTGAAGTGTGGTGAATTCCTTAGAAACACACCTTCAGTCTATTCGGTGGTGCACAATAGATTAAGCTGGCCAAAGTGCATAAACGCCTAAGCCCAATCCTATTTGATAGTCTATTAGTCTATTTGATAGGAATAATGTGGTTAATTTTTTTTATTAAACATTTAAGAAAATTTTATGGAAATAGGTCAGTAATTTAAGCAGCTTGCTTTATTTATGCTTATGGTTATAAGAAAAACGTTTCGTAGTTAAAAGTAATGCCATACTTTAATTAACCTATAAAAAATGTTTAAAGACTGGGGTCAAACACTGGTGTAATTGTATTGCAATTGATGGGGTTTAAATTCAAGTCAACAGAATATATTTGGCTTGAATTGTAATTTATTTGTGACGTATTTAATAATTCCGGCTATTTTTTGTATTACATTTGATGAGGCATTACATTTGTATTCAAGGTGAATACAAATGGATAGCTTTATGATTTGTTTGGGTTTATATTAAATAATTCCTGATACTTTTTACACAGAATGTATATCAATTTTTATAATTGTACTCTCTCTAAATTTTTTGAATTTCTTTAAATTGCTTTGTTAATATAGGGTATGATCAGTTAGGTAAAGTGATCGTGGTTATAGTAGAGTTACATGTAGGCTAGTAGCCTATTGTGTTACCATAAAGTATATAGAGAACTTAAAACTAGATAATGACAAAGCAGCTGTGAAACATTTTTGTTAGAGTATATCAAGAGTACATAGAGAACTTAAAACTAGACAATGACAAAGCAGATGTGAAACATTTTTGTTAGAGTATATCAAGTTCGTTAATATGTTTGTGATTTACTTAAGCTATTTACGAAAATTGTATTGCCTTTGAAAATGTATTCTCGAATAGCATGTCGATTAAGTGATCTCGAATCGAATCGAATCGATTAAGTGATGTTTGTGAGTCTGCCTATTAGTAAGCATATTAGTTACTTGATTTTGAGATAATCGGATAAAATTTTGCATATGCATTTCTCTTAGCTTAGACAGTCAAAGTAGATAAATGAAATGCAATTGGTTAATTATATTATGGAGTGCCAATATAAAATAGTTTGCAACATATTTAACTATAAATATTAGTATAGTGTTTTAACTAGTATAGTCTTTTGCAATTTTGGCGGTCATTTACATTATACTTAGCCGCTAGATTTTGGCAAGATTTTTATGTTCTAATATTAATACGTATTGGAAAATACAACAATAAAACCTACAACAAAATTGCTCCTACAATAGTTATAGAGGTTGATTAATATAACAAAAACATGTATTTTATATATATTTTACGATATGTATATTTTCATACATATTAAATATACTTCTTTTATACGTATAAATATTTTTGTAAAAAGTTTTATTTCCTATCTATAATGAACCTAACCATTATACTAATATATGATTAATGTGCATCTAGAGATTACTCAGGAGCTTAAACCTTTTCAGCTCATAATGCACTAAATGGAAATTTGAATATACATATATGTAATAGGTAATTTTATAATATATAAATATATAATATTTATATATTATATTATATAATGTATTATAAAATATATAATTAAATAAATTAACTATACTCACTTTTAAAGTTAATTATTATTTAAAAATAAAAGAAGGACTTCAGCCGCTGAAGAGTAGAAATTCTGTAATTTCGAGTAATCTTTTTCATCAAAAACATTAATCACTACGTTTGCTTAATGACTACCAAAAAAAATTCAATGTCGAAAAGGTTTTTAAAGGTTTAATTATATTTGGGATAACCTAAATAAATAAATATGATTATGAATATGAAGTAAATATGATTACTTTTTCTTACTAATTATCTTAGAAAAATATTCTATCGTTCTACATATATGTATATAATTATAGTTGAGAATATTTTTGAGATAATTTTAATAAATTCTGTAATGCATTAAATGTTGAATTTAAAAAATATTCAATATTCTGGAATATATTCTTGTAACACTTCTTCTATTATTCTTTCCACATGTTATTCTCTTTTCAATGTGTAATCGTTGATAATAGTGCTCCATCGAAAGAGTAAGTACCGATATCCGTATCAAATCAACGTTATCTGTAATAGGTGTTTTACGAGAAACATATCCACATTTTTAACGTATACATTTTAATTTTCTTTCACTACAAACAAATCTTAGGTGTTATCTGGAAATTTTCAAACTTTAAATGTCATTTTATTTTCTATGTATGTATATATTTATTAGCATCTTTATAAGTATTTGTTGTGATCCTTTATTGTGCTTAAATTTTTCTCTCAGTTATAAGTGATGAACCCAAGTCTCATATGAAAGATGAAGATTGCCTTACTGGACTCGGTGCAAAACTCGGCGATTACGAAACAAATGATGATGATCTTAAAAGTATATTGGAAACTGCAATCACTTCTATTTTTCTCTTTCTAAACCCTAGCCTTCTGATTAGATCTTTATGACCATTAATCTCTAAAATTCGAACATTATAACATTCAGCATGTCACATATACTCTGTCTTAAGCATGAAAGCTGTAAATAAACATGAAATGTTGTAATTTTATAAAATAAATATTTTCTGGTAAAGATTTGTATAATTGTATGTCTCTATGTACCCAAACATATATGGATCGCTGTTTATTATCCAACTTCTAAACATATTTATAATACATAATCCATTTATGATCTTCGACAGGGAATTCAATTTGTGTAGCAAGTGAACGTTTGGTAGCTGCTACCGCAATGATGCGTTTGAGTCAACCGATAACAAGCAAGAGTAGCAATGCTGATACCGTAGATATGCTGGAATATCCCTTCCTGACCATGACAAAATATCCAACTGGATTTATTTTACACATAGGTGCTACAGTGGCAGCGCGTTCCGTTAAACTTTTAGAACGTGTGCCCAATCTTGATGAACCAGAAATCAGAGATTCATGGTGGACAGAACTTCGCATGGAAGTGCGTTCACATGCTCGCGCACTCTGCTGTAATGTTGTTTTAGGATATTCAGAATCAACGACAATATCGTAAGTATATATCTACAAATTACCCAAATACATTTTATTTGAATTAGATTTCATAAAATAATTGTCACTAACTGAATACAATCTTTCTTTTAGAGATGATGTTTGTGTATTATCCGCAACTGGTACTGCGGCTGTTATAAACATGGCATATAATCGTTCTGTGTCCCAAACAGATATTTTTGCCGTAACGAAAACTACGATGTCAGCATCACTTGAAGAACGGGACACACAAAGATCAGATTCAAAAGATTCCGGAACCAATGAAATAAGCAATAAGGATTCAGTTTCGTCTTCCTTAGGTACTACCCAGAGTAGTAACAATAACTCCGCTGGTAAAAAATATGGTTTGCCTGGATTAAATATATCGAAGAACTCATGTACAATGTGTCATGTACCATACAATTTGGGTTCTGTGCCATTCAATGTCAAAATGAAAAAATGTGCCATTTGTCGCAAAGGACGTGTACCAGATGTGTTACTATCAACACTTGAAGTGCCAGAATATTTACAAGTTACAGGTAAGTAAACATTTCATTCTCTTGGTTATTTTTTAAATAATTTATATACTAAAAAAATAGGTCGTGGTTGTTTCATACAAGCACAGGTAGTGCGTGCTAAAAAGGATTTACGTTCTGAATTGAATGCCAAAGAAATTTCAGATGGTTTACCATTTTTGGAATATGAATTGCATCGTGTGCTCATTAATAAACTAAAAGCGAAAGGAATGAACGCTATATTTGGTTTAAAAGCACAAGTATCAATTGGTGAACGTATGATAGCATTAATTGCTACCGGAACTGCTTTGTTTCTTAGTGCACTTCCAATACCACAAGTACCTAAAATAGTTGCAGGAAACTCTTGGACCGATAAACAGAAATTGAATGAACTTCAAAAGAAACTACAGGAGACTTTTGAACGCAATCAGGAAATATATCAGTTAAAATCAATGGATCCTGATTTAACTGCCGGTACACTGAACAATTTACCTGATAAGCAATCAGATACGGATGAATCAGATGATGAAGTTATTGAAATTGATTTGAATTGTGGAAATAAAGATACTTGTGTATTAGAAGTTGATGATATAGAAGACTTAGAAATTATTTCGCTTCTTATGGAGCCATATCCGCCAGAAGGATTTCATGTGGTTAATACACAGAGTGTGCCAGGAATGGTTGATATGGAGGCAGTTAAAAATTTACAAATGTTTACACAAGTATGGCGTGCCAAATTAGATGTTGGACAATATATCAATGGTTTTCCAAAACAATTTCAACGGTGAGTAACTTAATGATTTTTCACCATCAACCTAAATTGAATACCTTTCTTTGTACCATTCTTGATTTAACTTATCCATTAATATAATTACTGACGCTCTCTTTATATTACTGAAAAATATTATCTTTGTGTTTCAGGTTGTTGCAGACAATATACTTTAAATTGCGTACCATGATACCGTGTGCTATTTGCGATCTACGATTTAGACTGGATCTTCCAGAAAGTGTATGTATTTTTTTATATTTTAAAATGATACAGAAAACGAAAATTTCATAATAATATTTAAATTGAAAATGTAATTTATTAACAACTATAAATAAAAAATATACAATTAAAAATAAAACATAATATTAAAAATGCTTTACTGTTTATTATAAAAGTAAAATTTTAATCATAATGACGTTATAAATATAATAAATAAACTGTAGTTAGAAATGTTATAAGAAATAATTGAAAAGATATAAAAATGATTCATAAATGAGAGTTTTCAATATTAATACAAATAATACTAACATATTTTTAAATAATAAATAAATTTAATTTGACTTTTTTAATTAATTACAAGGAAAGAAACCACATTCTAACAAAAAAATATGATATTGAAATTTAACAATAAAAAATTAATAATTTATTAATTTAATTATTCTATATCTGGTTTATGATTTCTTTGTTATATTTGTTAATGAATTTGTTAATGCCTATTCATAGCAAATTAACAAAACGCCAAGCTAGAACAATACAAATAAGCATGGCTATATGTTAGGTCACTTAGCTAAAGAGATCACTCACTCTGAGCTTCAAATTTTATAGGATACAAGTTCAACCCTTTGTACTTGCAATTTAAAAAAATTATTTACGAATAATTAAATAAACAAAATAATTCTAAGCGTGGTTAGTTAATTAGAAATAATCAAAGTAAATATGTTATTAACAACTAAAAAATATTTTCTACATAATAATTAAAACAGTTGATCATATTTGTTTTACATACATAAACATTATAAATAAATATAACAGAAACAGAAAATAACTTAAAATATAACATCATTTAAGACTAAAATTATTTTAAATCAATAATAAAGTGTTGTGTTTATTTAACGACTAATAATATTTATTTAATATTATTTTAATAGTTAAATAATACTAATAGTAATAGTAATAGTAAATAACACTAATAATAGATTAATAAAAATTTCAACTATTATAAATAATTATATATATCCATTATATTTATAAATAAATAATTTATTTTAAATTTAATTGAAAAATTAACAAGTTATAAATTAATTACAACAACACATATTAATCATTGCACAATTATGTATAATTAAATTTCAAATAATTATAAACTTCAACACACAAATAGTCAAAATTATAAATACTCATAATAAATTTGAAATATATAACAATTATAGAATCAAAATAATTATAATAACCTTACAATCAAAAATTTAAAAAAGTTTAAATTAATAATATTTATAATAATAATACATAATAATTATAATAATAATATATAATAATTACAATAATAATATATAATAATTATAATAATAATATATAATAATAATAATATATAATAATAATAATATATAATAATTATTAATATTAATAATTAACACTAAAAAATTACAAAAATAATTTACGATATATATATATTTATATATAAGTAAAAATAAATAGTTGAATAATTAAATAAAATATTATAATATATATATGTTATGTCAGAAAATTTAAGAAAAATTATTAATAAAAATAGTAATATAAGTAAGTAAAGGATTCTACATTCTTTTCTATATTATGTTTTTATAAAATATTAAAATAAACATTTATATCAGAATTAATACAATTTTTTAATTTTAGGATCAAATACAATTACTAGTAACAGGCATGGCATTGGGTTTAGCAGATGTGAACAAATTCAAATATCGTCGCAAAACTTTAAATACAAATGGTTTCATAGAATCAAATAGTAATCAACAGCCAGAAACCAACGGCGCAATTACAGGCAGTAATAAACGTGCACTGCAAGAAGAAGATTATATTTTTCCTTTGGATGAAGATCAAATGGTAGAGACTCCTACACCTACAACCAATCTTCCACCATATGGGTCACATTCTCTAAAGCTACGAAAAACTTCGCCATCACGTGCTATTTCCAAAGCGAATGCTGCTATGCGGAATCGTTTTGTATGTTGAAATATAATAGTTTTAATATAAGTAATAATAAATAATTGCATATATTCTACTTAGTTCCCTTTGAGAGATCGCTATGGCGTTGATATAACACCCCTTAGCTTTATACCAGGCGCAAAGATAGAAAAATATTTAGGAAATTTAAATTTCTTCTTTATACGTGAAAGCACTTCAATTCGTGAAAATGGTGGCATCAGTGGTTTTGTCCATGGTTTTATAACTGAGGTGAGATTGCTGTAGAAAATATATACATATCATATTATATAAATAATATTACATCGATTTGTTTATAGTTATTGGCTGTTGTACGTGCTCATATTGCAGGTTTAGGTGGTAATGCCATGGTGTCCTTCTACATGACAGAATTAATTTTAGTAGATAATCAACATAAGAATCAGGTAATCAATAAGGGTTTTATAGATTTCAAATTATTCTTAATCAAGTGTCAAGTATTTTCAATTTTGGTCAGTATAGTTTTTTTTATCTTTTTATCATATCTAATAAATCTGTTTATATCCGTAGAGAAATCCGTATAAGAAAGTTATTTTGAAAATAATATTAGGATATTCATGATCTTAAGTACCAAACTCAGTACCTGCAACTACAGCGGCAACTACAAACTATCTTTATATCGAAATGATCATAAATAATACTATTAATTTGTTATCGGCACTTTGAGTTACTCAATATATAATATTTATAATTCAAAAAATTTAAAAACTTACTGAATCTTCTGAGTTTATTAGTTTGGCACAAATATATAAACATATAGTTTATTAATACACTAAAATATTATAAGTTTAATTTAACTCAAATATTCTTTTATTTACAGGGTCAGTGTTTAATAAGTATTGGTGGTGATGCAGTTTATGTTTCCTACTACAGCGATGACTGATATAAGAGATTAAAAGGAATATAGCGTCAGTTTTTCACAACTCGACCTAAAAGCCTTTATTATTGATTTTACTTAATTTATTAGACAATATCAAATAGTTTAAATTTGTTTCAACTGCTTTTAAACAATTTAAAAATATTATTATTAAATAGCTTAGTTATGCTCTCTAGTTTTTGTTAACAATTATATTTGAAAGTTTTACTATATTATTAAGTATAATGGTGGGAGAAGCAATATTTTAGACATTAGAATGTATAATGGCTTGCAATATCTGAAAACTGTGACTGTTTTAAAAGTTAAGTAATTGTGTTCTATTATTGTAAATAAATATAGTTAAACTAAATTTATGCTTAAAAATAAACAAAATATTAAAATGTTGATTTGATATCGTTAAAATATGAACAATATTAAATTTAGAAATGTCAGAGGAACTAAAACCGAAACATGACAATGCAATAAAATTGTATTTAATATATGATAAAAATCATATTATGTAAAAATGTTTGAATTTGTTTTAATTAATAAATTTAAAATTCTTTTATACCCGTTTTTGTTTATTTATTTATAACTACGGCTGTACTATCTGCTGGGTTAGTTTTGTTCGAAATCATAATGAACTAATTGTCAAACTAAAAAATATGATACTCCAGTTAAAATTATTACACTATTAGCAAAATCATTTTACATCTATAAAGAAAATTAAAGCGGGAGTCGCCAATGATTTCCTAATGTCTGTCTTATTGTATAATTTATATATAGCAGATTTTTCTTTGGAATCCATGAATTCAGTTTTGTTATTTGCAGACCACACCTGCATACTGGATGTAGACAGAAGCCAATATTTATTTAAAAAACATTTTCATCTTCATATTACCAAAATAATATTATTTTAAAAGGTGAAGAATTAAAGTATATGGTCAGGAAATGAAAGTTATTTTTATTACAAGACGAATAAATTAAAATCTAAGAATAAAATAAACTAAAAGTCTATATAATGTTGTGAACTAGAATGGAAAGATGTTAAAATGTAAATATAAAATACTCAGGTCTACTCAGGTCTTTTGGCATACGGCGAATTGATGTTATTGTTTCCGCAACGTGCATCCACACGATTGATGTCCTCACCGCCCATGAAGTATATTTGTAAAAATTTATATGGTTCGTTTGGCATTGGCAAAAATGAACCTACTTTATGGTACACTTGGCCTTTGATTTTAAACGTTGAATTAAATTTTTGGCCATTTGCCGCAGTATTGTGAACTATTTCCGTATTTCCGTTGCTCCGAACGAAGTCATTTGGAAGCATGAATTAAATATGCGAATGGAGTTCAGGAACACATTTTAATCTTCATGCGTGGCAATGAGCAAGCCGTTCAATGGTTCTGATGGTCTCTTAATTTCTGGTTTTTTTTTTTTTTTGATTCTTGTTTGAATTTGAGTGCATGACAATAAGGGCATCCTTTATCCATAGAACCAATCATCACTTTCGGATGTGCGAAATATTCAATATCAGGCTCGTACTTGAACGCAAGACGAAGAAACGAAGTGGATGCAAATGTTCGATGTACCTGTTGACGTAGTTACATAAAATAATGAAAAAAAAAATTTTTCTTTTTCAAATATATGAAAAAAATTTATGTCAAAAAAATAAAAATTTTTTGTTAAAGCAATAAAGATATTTTTGATGGATAGGGACACCCTAATCACTTTAGCGGTATGAAATATACTTTACGACCTGTTCTCATACCTACCAAATATACAGAAAAAGTTTCATGACAATTGGTCAAGCCGTTTCGGAGGAGTTTAACCACAAACACCGTGACACGAGATTTTTATATATAAGATAAATCGGAAACTCAAAAAGCATAGCGTTCTATTTGTAGATCATAGTGTTTTCGAAAACAAGTTTCAAAAACGCTAACCAAAGAGTAAATCAAAGAGAAATGGAAGAAATAATGTTACACTATTGAAATTGGTGGATGAGCTGCCTTAAACAATTGTAAACAAATACAAACGATTTTCGATCGTACGTGTTATTGCAAATATATTTACATTGTATATTTAATGTACTTTTCTTTATTTGTTATTAAATTTATGTAATAGTTTAACTTATATTATAAATACCCATTTTGCTGTTAATTAGAAAAATGTCGTGGATATCAGATATTGTTGGGAAAGCTGAAAATATATTAGTTAAAGTTGACGAAAATGTAGCAACAGCTCTATTGCAACCAGTAAATAAGCACATATCGGAAAGCGCACAATCCTTAATGTCATTATCGCCAATTAAAATAAATATCCCCAGCAATAAAGCAAACGAAGAAATAAACATTGGGGCAGCAACGTTTTCAAATGCTTCACTCCCTTACGATGTAGATGAAAAATTTCAGCTGACAATAGGCAAATCGTCCGATGATGCGACTGCTGTTACTATTAATATTAACAATGACGTCGACCACAACCAACTGCCTACTAGTCTTGTTCCCGAAAAAGAGTTAAGGTTTGTTTATAATTGTTTTTCACGCTTTGAGTAACATATAATTGATATTTTAGCATGTCCATTAATAGCATGTCAGGATTCATACAACCACCAATAACTGCAATAGAACATACCAAGCTGCTAACTGAAGCAACTGTTACTTCAAGTATGAACGCAGAAGAGAGTGAATTACATAGACGCATACAGGAGTTGGATAACTTGACGGAACGACTAACTGAGGAACGTGATCAGGCACAGCAACGTTTATATGAGTGCGAAAAAACAAGTGCTGCATATTTGCATTCCATGTCACAATTAGAATCAAATTTAGCAAAACTGCAACAAGATTGTTTTGACGCTTCGGAAAAGATGCAAATCCAAGTTAAGGAAACACAAAAATACGAACAGGAACTGCAGGAATATCGAATAAAAGCACAACGTGCTTTACTAAATAAAGACAATCTTATTGCAGAATTAAAGTCGAAAGGCTTAACAAGCAGCAATGATGGTTTAGGAGTGTCGACAGAGATTCGTGCGTTACAAATGGAATATGAGGCTTTGAAACAATCACATACGCAAGCGCTTGTTGAACAGCAAAAATTATTAATGCAGCTGGAGGAAGCACGCAAAGATTTGAATATGTTTAATCAAACAAATACTGAGCAATTAAAATTATTGCATGAAAATGAAGAAGCACTTCGCAAAGAATTGCGAACGGAACGTGAAAAAATACTAACTTATGAATCCGAGCAGCGCGTTTTAACACAAGAAATGAATAGTCTAAGACAGCAATTAAGTAATCAATTGGCCGCCACAGCTACGCGCTTGCAGACAAAAGAAATGGAATTAGCGCAGTTACGTTCAGAGAAACTTAATTATAAAAACGTTGGCACTGTGAGTACGGAAGATTACAATAAAGTAAAAACGCTCACACAAGCGCTAGTGGACAAGCAAAACACGTTGGAAGATATAACTGCCGATAGAAATGCATTGAAAATACAGTTAGAAAAAATACAGGTAAAGTTATTTTTTAAATTTAAATGTAATTTCTTTTTAATAGTAAAAAGTTGTATTTCATATTATTTAAAGGATAAACTGCAACAAGAAATTTGTAAAAGCAATATTTATAAAAATGCAATGAGAAGTCCTTTGATTTCGAATAGTACCGATGATGGTGAGTTAAATTTTGCAATTTAACAAAAATATTTATATAAAACTATATTAATTGCAGCGAAAGCACAGTTCCCATCGTTAATGAGAGAAAGTCCTTTCGATAGAAGTGTTGCTCGAAGGATGAAACGTGCTTATACGACACTTGATTCGGCTGGTATACGTTTAGGAGCGTTTCTACGTCGCTATCCTTTAATACGTATTTTTGTGTTACTTTATGTGGGTCTTTTACACATATGGGTCGTCTTCGTACTGCTGTCTTCAACGCCGAATAACTAACAGTCATCTATTAAAATTATTGAAACACTAAATTTGTTGTCTATTGTGTTTAAAATTTAAAAAAAACTTGAATTCTTGACGTGAAATATTGTGCGTATCAGCATTTAAGAAATATACATATATATTTGAAAACTACTTTATTATTTATGTTAGTTGCATTTACAAATGATTATAATAAGTTGAGAAAAAATTTTTATTGTTATGCCGAATTCTTCTTTATAAGAGTGGTATTGTAACTGCTAAAGTAGCACAAATTATTAAATCTACTGTCTACTGTATAAATTAACTAACAAGATAAAAAAAAATAAATAAAACGTAAAGTTAACCATTGGCTACTGTTAACTACTGCCTTCACAACTTCCATCATGATACGTAATATCTATTACAATAAATGATTTTTATAGTTATTATGTTGAGACTAGTTGAGTCAGTGCACTTGAGCTATACTATACTTTCTGTTAACTGCTAGGTTTCTTCATAACCCCTCACTACGCCTTGACTCAATTATTGTTTATCACTTCATCAGACTAAGCAATATTTGAGCTCAGCTTTGCATACCTCCCCAAGGACGAGTTTGATCATATTATAATATAAGTTAACTTACAGGTATATTTTTCACACAACACCTATATATGCAAAAATGATAAATATCGTTCTTGTAGGTATGTAAGAATGATAAAGTATTGTTCAAATGTATATTATATTGAAGCTATTTGAGTCAGTGCAGTTGAGCACTTTTACTCTCTATTAACTGCGAAGTATTTTCAAAACTCTTCTTTACGCCTTGACTCGATTATTGTTTATCACTTCATCAGACTAAGCAATAATTGATTTCAGTTCTGCAAACCTTCCCGAGGAACCTGAAACCATTCTGTCAGTTTTCGCAAATAATTTCAGGGCTCTAACCTTTATGTATTTTTTGATCGGATAAATCTTGAGGCCCCTGAGGATGTCATTCGTCCTAATGTGCCATGGTATCTTGAAAAGTCTACGCAGAGAATGAATTTGTGCAATTTCTAGCTGACGAACTTTAAACTGTAGATATAAGTTGAGTTTGTATACAACATGGTTACGCTTTGGATAGTAACTGAATATACCTTTATATATACTCCAATGACTTATGATATATGATAAATATCATTTTTGTATATATGTCATAAAATATTGTTCGTGTGTATATCTGTCTTCTGTGACTTCTTACATAAAATTATTCACAAAAATTGATACGTTGCCCAACCCCGTCCTAACAATCCTCAAGTCCACTTCTGGACTCTCAAGAAGATATGCTGATTTAAGGTCCGTCATCAACTAAAAGACATATAAATGATATGATTTTTTTTTTTAGCCTAGTTAAAGCCTAGTGTGGGGTAGAGATAAGCCCCCCAGCCATTATAGAGTAAAAGTGCGTAATAGCACTAACTCAAGAAGAAAAAGAAGAAGAATAATAACATGGTCACGATTTAAAGAGTGACTGAAAGTACATACATATATACCCTAATGATATCTCGAAGTTAGTAAAAAATTTCAAAATAAATCGATTAAGACAATTTTGCAGTATTCGCAATAATTAAAAGATTCGTATATTTCAATATCGATTATTGTCTACGCTTGCAATTATTTTACGATATTAGTAACATACTTTTAAAAGAATTAATAAATACTTCTCTCTCTCCTTCAATTTTAAAAATTTACATTTAGCAACACTGTTTTGACATACAATACTAATTTACGAATTTGTTTTGACTTTATATTTTACGTAGTTGATGAGTAATTTTTTTTTGTGCATTATTTGATCATTGGTGTATGTTAGAATAAATACCTTTTGTTAGAAAATATTTTTCTGAAATTGATTTTTGTTTATATAAAATTTCAAAAACAAAATGGATTGGCTATTTGGCAAGAAAATCTCACCCGACGAGATGCTGAGAAAGAATCAGCGGGCATTAAATAAAGCTATGCGCGACCTGGACAGGGAGCGTATGAAAATGGAGCAGCAGGAAAAGAAAATCATTGCCGATATTAAGAAAATGGCAAAGGAGGGGCAAATGGATGCTGTAAAAATAATGGCTAAAGATTTAGTGCGTACACGTCGCTACGTAAAGAAATTCATGCTGATGAAAGCTAACATCCAAGCTGTCTCATTAAAAATACAAACACTGAAATCTCAAAACACAATGGCGGAGGCAATGAAAGGTAAGCTTATATTTTTGTTAATTAAGGCAATCAAGTTATAGATTTTATCAATTTTATTAGGCGTCACAAAAGCTATGCAAAATATGAATCGGCAGCTTAATCTGCCACAAATACAAAAAATTTTGCATGAATTTGAAAAACAGTCCGAAATTATGGACATGAAAGAGGAGATGATCAATGATGCGATAGACGATGCTATGGAAGACGAAGGAGACGAGGAGGAGACAGATGCTGTAGTCAATCAAGTATTGGACGAGTTGGGATTACAGCTTGGCGAACAATTAGGAGATTTGCCTACTGCTAGTGGATCGTTATCGATTGCAGCTGGCAGTAAAGCTACACCAGCAGCTGTGGCCGCTGGTGGTGTAGGCGGCGGTGGTAGTAGTAATGGTGGTGGTGCCGCTGCTGCTGGTGGCAGTGGGCCGTCAACACCGATGTCGGATGCTGATGCAGACCTGCAGGCACGTTTGGATAAGTTACGTCGGGATTAAGGTGCTCTTATTTGCTTGGCTTTATGAATGCTTTAAAGAGTTGAAAAACAAAAAACAAACTATGGGCACGAAATAATTCAAACAATAGTTTTACCACTGCAAATTTATGCAGGAAGAGCACTAATTAATTATTCAGGAATTTTATAAAATTAAAATCTATAAAAATAAATTAGTTGTACAAATTGTTAAAATTAATTTGAATTGCATTTAAAGTTATTCCTTCCACTTTGCTCACAATTTTCTAAATGCAATTAAAATGTTAACATTTTATCTTTGCGATAAACACACGAATAAACATGAATCATTCTGCCGAATTTTTACTGTAATTGCGTCATATCTCAATTTTAATTAATTTATATATTTTAAAATTTACGTTTGAGGAACATTTTTTCGTTATGCATGACAAACGTAAACGTGTCTTTTGTTTATTTAGTTTATTTTATATTTGCGCTATACACTTTCATTAACTTTTGAATGCTGATTTTTCATTAAAAATTATAATTAAAGTCTTCATAAAAACGGTTATATTACTTTAGAACTAAAATATAATTAAAATTCTTTTGCTTTAAATAACTATTTATTTCAATTTAAAATACATAGTTTCTTATTGGAATATTAATAAATTATTTATAGTTGATTGGTTATTCCCATATACAGTTTAAATCATCGGAGCGAACACCAAAGGAAACAATAAGCAGCTTATTTATTCTATATTCAGATAGTATTGTAATGTCGTTTTGACTCCTTACAATTCTGCTAAACCAGATTCTACGAACACCTCGTTAACCTTTTGAAATACAACGTCTGCGTTGGGACTAGCATCGATTTGCTTTACTTTTCCTAATTTTTCAAAATGTTTTATTATTGGTAACGAATCGTTATTATAGGTGTCAATGCGTTTCTTAAGACTTTCCAAATTATCATCACTACGTCCAGAGCCACTTTGTCCTCTGCTCAAACAGCGGTCAACGCATATATCTTCACTGCAATCAAAAAAGAGAACAAATTGAAAATCAACCTTGTCGGCCATTTGTCGATTCCAGCCATCTAAATTATCCTGATTCCTCGGAAAACCATCAACTAGGAACTTATTTTTTTTCGATAGATTCATTGCATTTTCAATTAACGAACATGTTATCTCTACTGGTACTATTTCTCCATTCTTTATATATTCGTCTATAAGAGTACCAAATTTTGAACCTTCCCGCACTCTTTCTTCACGCAGCAAATCGCCCGCGGATAAATGCACAAAATGAAATTTTTCGACAATTTTGGCGCTTTGCGTTCCTTTTCCAGCACCGGGACCGCCAAGCACAAACACAACTTTTGGCTTATTTTCTGGCATTTTATGTAATTTCCTGTAATTAACTTTATTATAATTATTTTGTAATGTTGGTAAAAATCGTTCGACTGCAGCACACGAAGTTAAATTAAAGGTCAACAAAGAGCGCCGTAATTGTTTTTGTTGTGTGTAGACGCAACTGCTTCGAATAACTCTCAACATTAAAACTCACTGTCAACGTGTGCAGGGCCCGTGCTGTTTGTTTCTTCTTTTTGTTGTACATGTATATTGTGTTAACAGATGTTTACAAGTAATTTCCACTGTTTACTCTTTGCGAGAAGCAAAGAATGAGAAATTGTGTAATTACACAAGCAGTGTATTTTAAACGGTTACACCATTTATTATTAATCTAATAATATACGTATATCCAATTAATAAAATTTAAAAAATTATTGGATAAAATTAATACAAAAGATTTAAACAAAAAGTATTAAAAGTTCTTAAAATATTTTTTGTACTTCAAAATACGAAATACAATTGCCTAAAACTTATTATAATCTCAGAATCATAAAATGTTTTCTGCGCATGGTGAGTATTTCGCATCTTCTTCAATTTGATTTTATACCGTATATTGGGAAGCAATGCTTTACAACAAAACTGAGTAATAAAAACTTTTGGCAAACAATTACTTTATTATTATTAATTAATTCATATATTCAATATGTTTTTAAATTATACTAATATAATTAATTTTTTGTTTTGCAAATTTTTAATAAATGAGATTGAGAGAAAGGAGCAAGTTGTGGTTGGTGATTGCAAATTACAAACTTAATTATATTTCACTATAAAGACCCTTTCTGATGACGTTTGCGGTTGGTAAATCTAGATTTATTCTCGATTTGTCAAATTTTGTTTCCCAATCGAACTCCTTAATATGTTTAAATTTTGCTGGGTTTTAGGTTGTGTTTTTAAATTTATATTTTTATATAATAAATCAAATTATATAAAAAATAAACTTAAGATTATAAAAAAAAAATTTTTTCTAATTATTTTTTATGTAATTAGTTTTTAATTATGTAATATATCTTATTAACAGATATTTCGATCTACTTCGTAGACCATTTTCAATATTCTTGATAGCAAAATAAATTTAAATCAAAAAGATTTGTATGGAAGTTGTGACAGTAAAAAATAGAATAGAATCGATACTTCTATAAAATCAAATTAATTTTAATTCGGGCGGGCGGGCGTTTCACTCTAGTACAGTATTGGCACAACAAACTTGTGGTATTGCGAATAATTTGAGGAATAAAAGAAATATTCATACAAAACTGTTATTTGTCATATGTGTGAAAGTAGTTAAAATGTGTGAATATACGATAAATCTGACAATAAAATAACAATGACACGCCGTGTGTATCGTCGATCCTAAAATTTTAGAAGTCGGTTTAAAATTTTTGTTAGCTAAAATTACAATTTAAACTCTCGTGTGAATCCAGTATTAGAGAACTTTAACATTTTAGTAGAAGTGTTAATAGAAATTTATATTTGTCGTAAATACATACATCGAATCAAATCACATTTTATTTATCAAGTCATATAAAACAGCTGTTAATTCTAGGGTAATCTTTTAACTTTGACAAAATGTCTACAGTGTTTTAAATCAATCTTGAGTGTTAAACATTTTGCTCGAAATTTTTGAAGAATTTAATATGACTTTGCTCTGGATAATGCTAGGCATTCTCGAGTTGTAGTCTTTACTATTCATAAAAACTTTGTTCTATTTTGGATGTCTGAAAGCTTTTTTTATTAAAGTTGCCGTTTTTTGTTTGTAATATTAATCCTACTAGTTAACAAATATATAAAATATTTGTTTCTATTTATTAGATTTGTGCACATCAGCAACACAAATTCTTATGTGGTGTTGGTGACTTGAGAACTTTACGAGCATACAAGTGAGATCCAACCCTGAAATGTACTGTTAAGCGGTGGAATAAGCAGCGCTATAGCTTATTTCTTTAATATACACGACAAAAATATTCATTTTATGTTATTAATGCTAGAGCTCTTTTTAAATCTGCTCCTTTTTCCGAACCGATAGCAAGTATTTTCCTGAAATTTGCTTAATATAATTAAAGGCAAATTATTGGATACCAAAATTGTTTTTATTAGATATAGTATTTCTGAATTATTATTATTAAAATAAACATTCTATTATTCTTTTGTATATAAAGCTTATAAAAACCTTATTTGTCTATATAATTTTATATAAAAGTAATTCATTGACGACTATATGATGATCAGAATAACCATTAGAAAGTTCATAGTCTTTACAGACGTTAAATAAGTTATATTCAATTAACATAAGATTTGTAAGTTCACCGCGCATATTCTGGCGGTAAAGTGGCAAAAGTTAAATATCCCGTATGACCAGGTAAAGTTGGCGGTAGTGAACTTGAAAGAATCTTTCTAGTCTCTTTTGGTGTTTTAATTTTTTCACCTGGAGGAACTTCTGGTTTCTGTTAATGTAATAAAGTTTTTTAAAAATCAAATGAGTCAATTTAAAAAAATGTATTTGCAACTAACCTCTTCTTTTAGGAAACCAAACTCCATTACATTCATTGATTTTGTTTTTACTATGTATTCCTGTTGTAATATCTCCATTGATTGAATATCTGTGAAACCATTTTCATGTAATGCCACACAGCAGCGTTGTGATTGTTCAATGCAGGGTGAAAATGAACAAAAACGGCCTCCTTAAATGTTAGTTTACATTAATGCTTTTTATGCATATCTTATTATATATATTCAAAACTATATCAAAAGAATACCAGTAGTTTTAAGTACTTTAACAGCATGTGGTACTGCCTGTTGCGGTGCCGGCAAATCAAGCATTACTGCATCAGCTATACCATTTAAATCTTGACTAAACCCATTTTGACATACATCTCTGTGGTAGACATGTACAAAACCACCTAGTCCATGTCTTTGAAATTCATCACGAGCCTGATTTGCTCTTGCTTCATGAAAGTCAAATGTATGCAATTGTCCAGTTGGCTTAACAGCATTTAAAATAAAATGAGAAAGTGAACCAGAACCAGTGCCAGATTCTACTACCACAGAACCTGGGCGTATTTCCAATTGAAATATTATCATGCTTATGTCCGGCGAATACACGATTTGTGTACGATGAGGTAAAGTTTGTGTCCAAAGTGTTGGATTTGGTTGCAGGACTATACCCCAGCCACCTTTGGACAATTCAATTCTGCTTCCGTACGGTGTTCCTATAATACTTCGTACTTTTAAAGCACCGAACGACGTTTGAAATACATTTTCTATAGTCTCGCCTTTTTTGTTTACTATTGTTGGGTTCGCTTCTATTGCATGCATTAGATTTGCATTTAAGTATAAAATAACTGTATCACCTTGTTCAATAATATCTTTAGGTTTTAGAAAACTCATTTTTTAATTTTATTTAATTGAATTAACAAAACTGAAATTATTTGAATCCAAAAAGTATTTTGTTGTAATGTAAACACAAAATGACAGTTGTATGATGTGTGGAATGCGTATTGCACGTGCGTGGATTGTGGGTTTCATTCAAAACAGTGTTGCATATTTGTATTTTTAAATTTATAAGTGGTATATAACTTTATACATCTGATTAGGTAATTAATTTATATGATGGCCGTGTGCGAGTTCGAATAAATTGATAGTAAATTGAGGGAAATAAAAAATTATGTCGGTATGCCAGCGCATATTGGTATTAACCAGAATTTCGAGTAGGGTAAATTAGATCAAAATTAGGTAAATTAGTTTTTGTTTTTTAATTTACATATAATTATTTTTATATAACAACAGATTTTTTGCATGTTTTCACAACTAATAAAAATTGTTTTTATTAAGTAGTTTATGTATTTTATTAATTATATATATATATTTGTAATCATATTTATTTAGGATGTCCACAATGCATACAACGTTTAAGTATAACTTCTTCAGATTTGTTTTTAATTTGTCTAAGATAACATGGTGTCATGTGAGGAAGACGTATCTCAGGAATTCTCTGCAAAATTAAATTTTTTATATAGTAAAAATGTGAAATAATAATCCTCATACTATTAAGGTTCTTTCCGGATTGCCACTACAAGTTGGACATCGATGTACACCTTTGGATGTAGGTTGTTTTAATTTATTTTTATTATTCGTTTCGGTTTGTTCACTAGGGCCGTATATAGTAATTAACTTCGGCAGACTTGAGTAGGGACGTGTTTCAAATAATTTTTCTCTACCAAGAAAGCTGAAATAAGTAAAACGTCCATATTAGAAGTATAATATAGTTTAATGTTATTATTTTCGAGTACATAATTATTTTTCTATTATATAACACATATTGTTGTCTTAATATGAAACAATTCTATAAGTCATTTACTTATATGATATCTAGATTTATGATTTTAAATCTCATTGCTTATAAGTTTGATCTGATTGCACAGATTTTATATTTTAGTCTATATACGTATATTCAAAATGTTAAGGTGCGTATATGGACACAATTTTTCATATTATTTTTGAATAATTTTTAATGAAGTTCAATAATAAGTTTTTCTATTGCTTCATCATAAAAAGAGCATTTCCGAATATTGTAACTAGCATACATACACGTTAGGGGTGTGGGAAGGAGGATTTGTAACCCATTCTAAACAAGTATTTTATCTTGATTTTTAAATCATGCCATAAGTTTTTATTTATTTATGATATCTAGATTTTATAATAATTTTTTATGATTATTGTTTAATAATATAATACACTTACTTTGGTCTTGGTTCCAACCAAAAATTTTTAACTCGCTTGCTAGTCATGATTTCACCGAGTTTTTGTAAGAGACGTACGTTTTCAGTTTCAATTTTTTGAAGGCGTTCTTTTTCTTTTTGCATTTTCTTGGGTTTCGTCAATACATGGAGATATACCGGCGGACTACGTACATCAACAGCAGATTTTGCACTATGTACCTATAACAGAGAATATTAGTTTAAAACATTTGTAAACAAATATATAAAATTTAAAGTATCTATGTCAATAACATAATTATAGGTACATTATACATTTTTAAATTTTGGTTTTAATATCTACTTTTCGTTTATGTTGCTCATATCTTTGTTGTTCCCAAGGATAATTTAATAATTTATCACGACGTGAAATCATTTAAGTACTAATAGTTCATTCGCCGCAGGCTTCTATTTCTCTGTCAAGGTTAAATGTATACTACATTGGATTATTTTTATGGAAAGTTATGTGAATGGACTTCCTCTTTTTAACTATGCTGTTGCTTTGGTTATGTTACTACTTTGGTAACCATAACGCATAAAGGTTTTACAGTTGTTTTATTAATTTTTTATCCTTTTTATGAAAATGTGGGATATTCTATACCAACGGTTGCCAGTTAATATGTTATAACAGCTCATATATCCAGTAACACTTGTGCATAATTATGCGACACTTGGTTACTTACATAAATACACTATGAATTTATAAGATATGTTATAAATGATTATTTAATAAAGTAAGATTTCGTCTGATAGAGTTAGAATTTCACAAAATGGTAATTTCCATGTAAAAGGAAACATGGTGTTTCCTTTTATATAAAATCAGGAGACGGTTTTTCAGTTAAAGAAACCATAGAGAAAAATAGAAAACTGTTGACTTCATAGGTCTATCATTGAGAACTTATACAAAATTTCTACTCAGGGTATATTTACATTAATAAAGCATTAATATAATGAAATAAAAAGTATTTCCTGTACACAGTATTTCCTGAAAAAATAAATGATTGTCCATTTTTAAGTGAATCAGAAAGAAATAAGCCGGGGAATTTTTAAAATACGGAAAAAAGAATGCTAAAACAAACATAATCTTAAAGTAATTTTAAGAACTAAGAAAAGGAAAATAATATAACATAATTTTAGATATACGGCTCTTATAATTAATTTGAATATAATTTTCATGTTCTGTGTATCGTATATATATACCATAATATTAATAATTTATTATGCCATATTGAATTGACAGATTAGCCTATCTAAATGTTTAACAATATATAATAAATTAAAGTCATAAAAATAAAAAATAAAGTTTTCAATTAAATTTTAAACAAAACTGGGCGCCATTCTTCTTCTTTGATGATAATTGGTTGCGTTTCTTGGACCAATTATCATCAATTATCGTCATGATTATCATTTGAACACATGAAATTTTGAGGGAAAATATTTTATCTTAAAATCTTTATTTTAAACTATTAGCATGAATAAATTTTAATCCCATAGATTATTTAGTTTTGTAATGTCCCTTTTATCTTCTGAATATTGTTTTGTAAATTCGGTAGTCTATAACGAACTATAGCATATAGATTCTGCTCATCAAAAAACTTGAGCTATAGATAAACTCAAAAAACTTGAACTGTAATGTTAAATAATATAATTTATTACAATAAGCCAGTTAGTCACTTAGATAACTTAATAGAATTTCGTTTTTGCTTAGTATTTCTGTGTTAGAATCCACTAAGACGCATTAGCCTTTTGTATTACAGAATAAAACTCAGAGCGTTGAAAACCAATTTAAAGATTCTTTACAAGGTAAGCTTAATCTATGTTGCGCATGCGTTGGATAATGGCAAAGTAGATATACAGCATTTTTTGTCAACACCTGGGGCAAAAGCCACTGAAAGAAATTTTCAATTTGCCATTATAATTTCATAATCGACAGTAGCCGATTCACACAATTCGATTATATAATAGTTGATGTGTTTACTAAGATCACTATGTAATAGTTAACTTGCATAGAGATGTATGTATACCGTTGATTGTTCGTAATCAATCTGTTCGTAATTTGTATTCTTACAAACTAATTACAAACTACAAAGGAATTATATGGAATTATAGTATTGTAGATTCCACAGCATAGTTCGGACAAAGATATAGCCACAGTCATATACCATTTCATTACGAAAATGAAAAGAATACAATATAATTTTTCATGTAAGGATAGTACTGCGGCGCGCGATATATAAAGAGTTGGGATTAGGAAAAAAATAATAAAATATTAAATTCAATCGATATAAATTAAAGTTTTGGTATTTTGATTGTTTGAAGTTATATAAACGTACTAGCAGACCCGACAGATGTTGTCCTGCATGATATACTAAGCGATTAGGATATTAAACAAAGTAAGAAATGAAAGACAAATAATGTAATAATTTTGTTATTCTTTATTTTGAAATAACATCAATTTTTCTAAAAACAATTCGTAATAATCAATAATGTTTGTTTAATTTCATCTTAATGCAAGTTGATGAATAATATTTGTAGTCAATTCTTGAGGAGTAACCGAATAAACTTGACGGTTTTCCAACGCGAGAACACGCCACATATAATTGGCCATGTGAAAAGATCTGATTTTCGAGATCTATCCCACAAATCGACATTGTTTGACCTTGTGACTTATTAATAGTCATGGCAAATGCCAAGCGAATTGGAAATTGCAGACGTCTAAATGGAATGGGTGAGTCTGAAGGGATCATTGGGATTCGTGGCAGGAGAACAGCTTCACCTTCAAATTTGCTATTCAAAATTGTAGCTTCAAGTACATTGACCATAATTTTTTTATGACTAATCTCGTGCCGTTGCATAGCTTAGGTGTATTTAAATTCCGCAGCATAATTATAGGTGAGCCAATTTTTAATCTAAAGTTATGTGGTGGCATTCCTGGCAAATCCAGCGAATTCAAAAATTCAACAGGATAGTTGACTGTTTCTTCAGTATCGGTAACAGTGTCGATCGATTTGAACAATATTTCGTTGCCGGGTAATGACTGTTGCATTTTGAAGTTAATAGCGTCAACATCGATATTTTTGCGGCTAAAATAGTTCGATTACGAAGCCACGCATGCTTTCAATCAAAGCATCCTTTGTATCTACCATGTTGTAGAAATTGTCTGGTAATTTGATGCCTTGTGTGTCTGCATGCAATGGTATTGTTCCATTTCCAATGTTGAGCAATTGCTCGGAGAATGATAGTGCTAATGGATCGTTTTGCAGTTGAACACATATATTTTTGTTAAGACGTAATGTACTAACATTTCGCCATAGATATGATTGTTTTATACACGCGTTAATTTCATCCGCATATGTAGCACGTGGAATGACCGGCAATGTCTGTCTAAAATCACTGGACAGCAGCAGTAAAACACCACCGAAAAGCATGGTGTTATTATATAGATCTTTCATCATTCTATCAAAAGCTTCAACTGAATACTTGTGGGTCATATTTCATATTAGTGAAATGAGAAACGTTTTTCCAGTGCCACCTGGTGCGTCCAAAAAAAGGAATCCACCTTGTTCTGCTTCAAAATTCAAATATTCAACAGGATAGTTCAACGATTCATTTTAGAGACTTTAAACTTTTTAAACAAATCAAAGTAAGCATGAATTAATTATAATAATCTAATATAAATGTATATGTACACCAAAAAACTGTATAATAATCAAAAAAATATTATCCAGTGATCCAAATTGTGAATCTAAACCATCCTTGAATCCACTTGAACACGCACAAAAATTTCATCAAAATCGGTTCAGCCGTTTAGGAAGAGTTCACTGTCAACACACGTACAGAAGAATTATATGTATAAAGATATACTATATATCAAATGAAGGCGTAAATTAGGGTACTTATTGTACACATGAATGACATTATGCGTTACAGATTTGTAAGTAGGTTTCAAATTGGGAATTGATGGGAGTACACACAATCACGATGACATTCCTTTTGTTCAATCTGAATACACCATTTTAACTAGTTACAGTTTAAACAATACATTTTTTTGATGAGTTGCTGGTTGAAATGGGTATTTAACCCATTTATTGAACCCGTGTCTGGTATTAGAGCTACCAATAAAGTTTCCAGATAACCTACATGAAGGTATGATACGATGATGAGATAGATGATAGGGATCACTTGTAATATTCGAGTGTTATTGTGGTTTTCTTTATAATTTTTGGAATTTGAAAGCAATTGTATTAATATACAGATTTAGTTTAGTTTTTGTTCGCAAGTGTTATTTCATCTCCCATCGATTTTACATACCCTCACGAAGTGTTGAGTATTTCTTGTTAGGTCATCTGCGGAACTGAAAGCTCTGAAGTCAGGTACAATTTTCATATGTATTCTAGTGCAAGAAATTAATGTAAACGTTTTTTCATATAAATATAAAAATAACCAACGATTTCTGTCTGTATGCTAAGTAAACATTCATTGATCGTTGACACTTTTTTCTTTTCAAATTAATTTCAAATCAATTATGTCCATGTGTGCTATAAAAGGAACTATAATCATGTTTACAATAATGGCAACAAGTCTTAAACATAAAATATCTTCACAGCCATTAAAAACTGTATAAAGCAAATCTTGATATGCTTCGCTACCATACTTGACCGATTGAGTATGTGCTGTGTTGCATAATCATTAAAAATTTATCAAGATCGCGCCTGGGGCAGTGCCTGCCGATCTTCTTCTGTTACAGTTGTTAAATGCGTTTTCGTTATATTCCGCACATATCAAACAAACTGCAAACTGCAAACTGCGAACTGCAAACTACAAACACCGAAATGTGCAAATTTGTTAAATTCGCCTAATGCTCTTGCACTTGTGTGAGATTTTCTTTTCTAGACTCGTTCCATTATGTTCTGCTTAGTTCTGCTCAGTCCTGCTCAGTTCAGCTCAGTTCTGTGCAGTTCTTCCACTTGTGCAACTAGGCGGCGGCGGCGATTCTCTTTCAAATATTGCAATTTTTGCTTATGTTATTTGCATATATGTCAACTTCTGTTGCGGTTTTTCGGTTTTCTGTTGCTGATTGATGTTAAGTGCTGTTAAGACGGTGAATAAGTGTCTTCTTGAGTTGCAGTTAAAGTATGTGGCATGTTTGTGTTGCCTGTTGAAGTTGAAATTGTTGAAAGTTGGTTGAAAGTTGCAGCAATTTATTTCTTCTTTTTTACTAATTGTCTGTATTATTTTTTCTAATGTTGTAGTTTTATTAAATAAAATTATTGTCGATTCAATTATAAGTCGTTCAATTATCCATATGCATTTAAAATAGACTTGGCATAAATATACTATAAGCATATTTCGAAAAATGGGATGATTTCACAAATATTTTACCATTATAGTTCCGTTCTTTTTTCTAATTCTGAATAATTCAGTTATACTAGTTTATAATCTATAATCTAATAAAATAATTCATCATCCGTGACTCTACAGTCCATGAAGGACCTTTAAAAACATCCTCAATTCGTTCGGGAATCATATCTATTACACAGCGTTACTTTAGTACAACAAATGCAAGAAGAGTGATCAAACAATCAGTTGCCGTGTTAACCATTTATAAGAAAGGTTAATTGTATTATTATGGAATAAAATTAAGGATTATGAATATTTTACTACAGATTATTCTACAGTACAGATTGTTCGAGAATGTTGATTCTAATAGTATTCACTTCGTATAAAACTTAGGTTGGTTTTGAAAAACTGTTACTTCAATGAATAGTTTGTTTGCAAATTGTTTTTAGATTCAATTATTCATTAATATGTAATATTTTTTGCCTGTGAAAATAATTGAAATTGGAAAAATATATATTCTTTTTATGGTACTTCTAAATAACATCTATACCATTTAAATTGTATAAATTATTAGCATATCCTGTGCGATACGCACCAACTAAGAAAATTTTGTTTTAAATTGTGTTTGATTTTAACATTCTAAAAAAAATATTCCTAATAGCTTGGATGAATTCTAAAACATCGACCTAGAGTATTAGTAGGTTTGGTTTGGTTGGTGTCTCGGCCTTATACACCAAAGTTCACTTGAGCTTAAATAATACGCGATTGTGGGTTAGCATTTTTCATAAGTAGACGAGAATAACTCTCAAAAGGACAGCAGTTAGCGTGAAAGAAACGCTCTTCGATTCAAGTGAAAGTGAATGAATCTAGTAATTTTATAAACTTGGCTAAGTTCCTAAAAGGGACCGTAAATATTTTTAATTTTCTATTGGAGAAAGATAGGCATTGACAAAGAAGGTAAAATACGGAATTTATCTCCCCTTCAGAGCTGCAATACAAAAAAGTCATTATAAAGTATATGAAGTATATTTGTTATATTTGAAGGAACATAATGTGCTACTCTATTACTATATGAACTATGTTATTCTGAGGTTTTGTTTGGTTCGTGAAGTTAACGCTATGTTCTCAGATTTTCTAAACGAACTTCATGTTGTTCGCTTGGTATATTTGCCCAGACTCTTGCTCGTTAAGTTATTATATTTTTTAAACGAACTACAGGTTGTTATGGTGTTTCATTAGTTTTGTTTGTTGCTTGTTAAATTTTCTTAAATTCTAACATCCATTATATTGTTCTTTATTTTTATTATGCCTTATATTGCTTATTTCTGCACTATTTCTAGTACTCAACCCAAAGAATGGTTTGAATCCTCTAAGATTCCTTAATGTTAAGAAAATTTTGGTTGCATTTAACATTGTGTTATTATATACTCTAATATGTTCTTCGTAACTTCTGTGAGTCAAGATAAATCAATAAATCGATACATTTTATTGAACAAACACATATACTTTATATGTTGATCGAGATATAAACTTTGGGTTGAAAAAAAAATTTAGCATGTATACCTAATTTTATATAGGAATTATTAGACTGCGAAAGTGATGTTATAATGTTTATAGATTATTTTAATGTATATTAAAATGATTAGTAATATTAGTATCTGTCTTATTATTGTTGAACTTTGAGTGCTTTGGCTTGGTCCAAGTAGACCTTCGGAAAAGGTGATGGTACCTCCATCTGGTTTTCAATGAGTCTTGAATCAAAGGATAAATTTAAGTTCTTCTTAAATTTCACCACGCTTGCTTAGGATATTTTCTCTCTATCACTTTAAATATATTTTGTGGTTTATTCAAAATTTAATATTCTTAACAAAAAAAACTATTTTTACCATCTGCCTTTTTTCACTTAATATTTAGCTTTCCTTTTTATATACAAACGTGATTATACATTTTTGAGAACTTTTTTCTCTGGTGAAACGTTTTAAGCTTAGAGTGGCAAAGTTACTTTTAAGTAAGACTCCCTACATTATTGAAGAAAACGTAGTATAGTATTTATTAGAACAGTGGTATGGAAAATTGTTTTGATATGGGATAATTTAAATTTAAAAAAAAATCAAAATATTAATCGAATAAAAAGTGATTTGATTAAGTAATTACGCTTTGAAGAGTTTTATTTCCATATAAAAGTATAATAGATAATATGACCAAATTGAATAATATTTAGTGAAATTGATTGAATTCTTATTCCTCATTGCCGATTAAATTACAGATCATTTTATGTGACATGATATGATTATCATATCATTATATTGAGGCTAACATAGTTGAGTCAGCGCACTTAATCACTTTTACTCTCTATTAACTGCGAGGTTTCTTCATAACCCATCTCAACACCTTGCCGGATAATTGTTTCATCAGACTAAGCAATAACTGACCTCAGATCTGCATACCTCCCCAAAGAGTTTGTGAGCATTCTGAGATTCGATATCATGACTAACATGAAGATGATGCGACATCTGACAGAATCTATTCTAAAATACCACATTCTCTCTACACGTTGTACTAACTTTATATTCCAATTCAAATTTATCTAAAACAAATCGTTGAAAGATTAAAAATTTATTTTAATGTGTTAAAATAAACTTATAATTGATCGAAGTTTAAAGTAGATGCAAAACAGTTTTTCTGTAAAGAAAAATTCCATTATAAATTGTATAACAGGTATTAAATAAGTGAATAATTTGTTAATAAATACAATGGGAAAACACATATTATTCTAATGATAATTGCTTAAAATATTTGAAATTATTTCATTTAAACTTTGTTGCTGTTGCGTTAGGTAAGATTTTTAATCTGTAAATATACAAGTCACATATACTCGTACATGTTTAGGCTAAGAGACGATTAGGCTTAGTGAAGTTCAGAATACATTTATCATTTATAATATGGTACTGTTGATTTAACACAAAAATCACTATGGTCACAGAGAGACACTTTACAGGGAGTTTGTGTCCCTTTGTTATTGAGGAGTTTGTGTTACTGAGGAGTCTTTAGAAAGCCCGAATCGTGAATTCTTCACTATTACTACTTACTAGTAGTTAATCGTAGCACATTGATATTATTTATTTTCATCATGATTGCGTTTACAAAAATA